GCTCAACAGAATCGCGGGGAGGAGGAGCGGAGACAGGGATTTCCACGCTGTTATTCCATGGGTGATTGATTTCACAGTGGCTCCTTCGGGTGTCACTGGTGCTACATTTGGCTCTGTCACTGGTGGTCCGTCTCAGGGGGTTGATGCTGCTGCTGAGTTGCCACTCAATGTCCCCTCTGTCTGTGATCCGTCTGTAGATCGAGCAAGCGAAAGTTTTCCTCCTCTCCCTCCTGCTGCTGGTGATGGTGGTGCTGCCGCTACCGCTGCCAATACTGCTCTATCCTCCTCCTCCTCCTCCTCCTCCTCCTCCTCCTCCTCCTCCTCCTCCTCCTCCTCCTCCTCCTCCTCCTCCTCAACAGCTGCCCTCAAGGGCTGGCGGAACCTGCGCTTAACTAAGTGGCGGGCGGTGAAGGGCGACGAGCAGCTCGATTTCACCTACTCCTCCTCCGAAGTGCCGCACCACGTGGCAGAAGAGTGTGTGTCTGACGTGGCAGTTTGCATGTATTCCGCTCGAAAGCTCCCTCTTTGGATATTAAGGAGGGTGGTGAGGACGGTCTTTGAGCCTAAGGAGTATCCTAGTACGATGGGGAGGATGTATAGATGGACTCCCGATGAGACGCTGCCCGAGTTTTTTTTCGATCCTGCCCTGTTTCGGTCGTACCATGAGGGGCTGCCCGACCTGGCGCCTCCTGATTGGATGGATGAATTTGCGGGCAGTTTTGAAGGAGCGGAGATGGATGGACAGAGAGGACGGGAGAGAGGAGGGGACAGAGGAGGGGAGAGAGGAGGAGGGGTCGATCATGAAAGAGATCTTTCTGAATCTTCCGAACTTGCAATCATGATGGACGGCGACGATTTGATCCTGCGAATCAAATCCGATCGCGTCCACCGCTTCCTCGATCTCCACCGGGCGGCGCTGGAGGGCGATTTTGTCTCTTCTGAGCTGCACCACTGGATCGACCTCACCTTTGGGTACTGCCTCGCTGGCGACGCGGCATTGGCCGCCAAGAACGTGGTCCCGCCGCCGACCAATGAGGAGGCGCCACGTGGACATGGGAGGTGCCAGCTGTTCGTGCACCCTCACCCCCAGAGGGGGCCTAGACCAGTAGGGTTGGGTGTAGGGAGGGGAGGGGGTTGGGGAGGGGGAGAGAGAGGGGGAGGGAGAGGGGGAATGGGGATGGGACGAGGCGGAAAGGGTGAGGGAGGTGAAGGAGGGAGTAGCATTGGTTTGGACTCTCGACACTCTTCCGTTGTCCCTGCTTCTTCTGAAACTGCTGCTGCTGCTGCTGCCGCTGCCGCTGCCGCTGCCGCTGCCCCCCCTCTTCCTGCTGTCTCCTCCCCACTACCATCCACCCCTCCTCCCTTATCCTCCCCTCGCTCTCCCTCCCCGTCCCCGTCCCCCTCCCCCTCCCCTTCCCCCTCATCCCGCCCCCCCCTCTCAATGTCACGCACACTCCAACAAGTAGAGGACTTCTCCCGATTCCTCGAATCCACGCGCCACCTGTCGCCCGTCTATTGGCCGCCGCCTGAGATTCTTGCCCCACCTCCTGTCTCCCCCAGGGGTTACCGGAGGGGGGGGATAGGGTCTGCTGGTGGTGGTGGTGGTGGTGGTGCTGCTGCTGCTGCTGCTGGTGTCATGGTTACAGCAAACAGACAAATTACGATGCAGGAGGAAGAAACGGACAAACAAGGCACGCCCTCCTCCTTGTCTTCTTCTTCCTCCTCCTCCTGCTCCTGTTGGGCGGAAGATATCTTCGTGGCCGGCTGCGTGATCGCAGAGATTTTCCTCCGCCGCCCGCTTTTCGACCCGGACTCGGCACACGTCTTCGCCACGGTCGGCAGTCTCCCACCCGCTTTCTACAACCTGCCAAGCTCCGTGCAACCAGTGATCCGAGGCTTAGTAGACCGTAACCCCGCCCGCCGCCCGACCGCCGCTACAGTACTCGCTTCGTCCTTTTTCAGCCCTGCCGTCCGGTCAGCCCACTCGTTCCTCTCCTCGCTGCACTCCCTCCCATTCCCGAGCCAGCGGCTCGCGTTCGCGGCCTCCCGAGCCAAGCAGGGAGGCTTGGGGACGAAGCTGCGGACGCACGCGATCGGCAGGAGCAGCAGCAGCGGGCGAAACAGCCGGGAGAGAATGGAAGGGCTAAGAGACCAAGAGGGGGGAGATGGGAGGGTAATCCGAGAGGAGGAAGTAGCCCTATGGATGTGTGCATGCGAGGTGGTAACCCTGTTACAGCAACCAGCCCTGGATCTCTCCGACCCTGCGGTTCAATCGCACATCACAGTGGTTCTGAACGGTTTGCTGCATCCGACAAGAGGTCTTGGCCGGAGAGCGGTAGTGGCTCTGCTGGTGCCTCTGGTAGTGCGAGCAGTGGAGGCAAACGAGCCAAAGGGGTTGAATGAGATTGTGTTCGGTGAAGGAGTGTGGGGGAAGCTTGCGGCTGCTGTAGGGTTACCGGAGTATATAGAGCGGCTGCATCCCTCTTTGCTGCGTTCCTCTCTCTTCTCCCTCCCCACCACCACCCCTTCTGCTTCCTCCGCCTCCTCCTCTTCCTCTTCCTCCACTGCTCCCGTTCCTCGCCTAGACCGATCCCAATCCGCAGCACAGCCTCGGTCCGGACCTGCGTCGGCGGCTCGGTCCAAGCTTGCTGGACTTCCTCGGTCTGGATCTGTGATCGTACGGTCAGGATCGTCTCCTGCGCTTCACGCCAGTCCGTGCCATGCAGCATCAACGGCCCTGATTGAATCGGTGGCCCTGCTCCCTCTCCCCATCACCATCAGCCAGACTATTGCTCCTCTCATCGCTCACATCACCAGGGGACCCTTACAACACGCCTCCCACATTCAAGACCTCTTGATCGATATCGGTGCGTCTTGCTTTGGAGAGGCAGCAGAGGAGAATGAAACGTCCAGCCCAGCCCTTTCAACACACAAGCTGTTACTTGTCCCGCTGGTGTCTTCCCCTTCCCTTTCCCTCTCGAAGTGACTTTTGAGTCGACTCAAAAGGAGGTGACTTTTGAGTCGACTCAAAATGAGTTATAAGTCAACTCAAAATGAGGATACTTATGAGTTGACTCAAAATGAGGTTACACTTGAGTTGACTCAAAATGAGGTTACACTTGAGTTGACTCAAAATGAGGTTACATTTGAGTTGACACAAAATGTTCAACACACACGAACTATTATTTCCCTCTTTCTTCTCGCCCTTCCCTTGCCCCCTTTTGCAGCTTCCAAGTTGGGAGAAAAGGCCTCGAAACGGCACTTGGTGCCGAGGCTACAAGCAGCGCTGGCTCACATGAAGATGAGTGAGGATTGCATGAGCGACTGCAGGCACCTCTAGCGCAGCCTTTTCCTTTCCTCCCTCCCATCTCAACATGTCCTTTCCCTTCCTTCCTTCATTCCTCTTTTGTCTTTCGCAGCTTCCAAGTTGGGAGAAAAGGCCTCGAAACGGCACCTAGTGCCGAGGCTACAAGCAGCGCTGGCTCACATGAAGATGAGTGAGGATTGCATGAGCGACTGCAGGCACCTCTAGCGCAGCCTTTTCCTTTCCTCCCTCCCATCTCAACATGTCCTTTCCCTTCCTTCCTTCATTCCTCTTTTGTCTTTCGCAGCTTCCAAGTTGGGAGAAAAGGCCTCGAAACGGCACTTGGTGCCGAGGCTACAAGCAGCGCTAGCCCACATGAAGATGAGTGAGGAGCAGCGGCAGCTGCAGCAGGGGCAGCAGGGGGCAGCGGGGAGGAGAAGACGACTGCTGGATGTGGGAGGGGACGAGACAAGGCGGGAGCTGCTGGCGGGTATTCTCACAGATGTATACGACTTATTTGCAATGGACGAAGTATGTTTGCTATGTGTGTGTTTGTGCTGGGCGTGTGTATCGATGTCGAACCCGTGTGTGTGCAAGACTGCATTGTGTAGGGAGCTGCTGGCTGGTATTCTCACGGGTGCATGCGATTTATTTGCAATGGACGAGGTATGTGGGAGTGGGGTAAGGGAGGGAATGGGGAGGAGAAGACGAGTGCTGGGTGTGGGAGGAGACGAGACAAGGCGGGAGCTGCTAGCGGGTATTCTCACAGACATATACGATTTATCTGCAATGGGCACCTTGGGATTCCCACCACGGAACCTTCTTGTCACACCAACTCAGAAATTCCCTGCAATCCCTTTCCCCACACCGCTTGTCCCCTCAGGGCAACGAGTCAGGGTTTTTTTGTTGACTCAAATTATTCTGAGCCAGACCTTGGGATTGCCACCACTGAACCTACTTGTTGAGTCAACTCAGAAATCCCTTGCCCCTCCCCGCACACTCCTTGTCCCACCCCCACAACACCCCTTCTCCCATCAGGGCAACGAGTCAGGACTCTCCCTTGACGCCTCTCATTCCAAGCCACACCTTGGGATTACCACCTCTGAAACTTTTGGTTTAACCAACGCAGAAATCCCCCCCGATCTCTTGCCCCACTCGTCACACCTTTTGCCCCATCAGGGCAACGAGTCAGGGCTCTCCCTTGACTCAAATAATTCTGACAAAGATCTTGGGATTGTCGCCACTGAGCCTTCTCCTGTAGAGGCACCAGTATCACCAACAACAGCAGCAGCGGCAGCAGCAGCAGCAGCGGCGGCAGCAGCAGCAGCGAAGCGATTTGCAATCCATACGATTACCTCTCCAGTTAATTCTTCCCCTCCTGCTGGTCCCATCGATACAGAAGCTGCCGCAGCAGCGGCAGCAGCAGCAGCAGCAACAGCAGCGATTTGCCATTCACACTGTCACCTCTCCTGTCAACTCTCCTCCTACTGCCGCTCCCACCGATCCAGAAGCTGCCAGGAAACCTCCATCCTACCCTACCACTGCAACAACTGCTACAGCCGCTACAGCCGTTGCCGACGCTGCCGATTCTGCTGCTACAGATGCTGAAGCTGCTGCTGCAACAGCTGCTCCAGCTGTTTCATCCGAATCCCCTAAACTTGCCCCTAAAGCGGGGAACTTATCTAAGCGTCTGGGTATGGTAGCAGCGGCTCTCACTCCCTCTTCTCTGCTTTTAGACGGATTTGGTTGGTCCCTTCCCATGCCAACACTTAACAAATCACGCTCTCACTCCCACACTGTTAGTGCCAGCTCATCAGCGGAAGATTCCAGGGTGCTTCCTCCTGCCGATGCCTCTGCTGCTGGTGGTCTCGCCTCCACCGCTGCTGCAACCAACAGCCTCTCCACGTCAGCCGAATCTTTGCCTGAGACCCACCCGGGCAGCCTAGAGGAAAGTTCTTCCGTGCCCGATCCGCCCGAGCCGTGGTTCTGGCTGCCCGAAAAACGTCTAGATGCCCCTCCGGATGAGGAGGGGTGGGACGTGGGGAGGAGGCTGGGGGGAGGAGGGGGAGGGGCGGGGGGGAGTTCAGTCAGCCTTGCTAGCATGAGCGCTGTTTCGTCTGTTTCTGGGGGAGGTGGCAACTCGTGGATGGCTCGCGACAGGGAGGAATCCCAGCCCGGGTGGCATCTGAATTTGTCTGTACTCAGATCCTGGGCGGCACACGAGGGGCCTGTTACCGGAATAGCGGTTTTGGAGAATGAAGAAGCATTTGTGACTATAGGGAGGGGCAGGACCTTTTCAGAGGGGAGTGGAGGCGGGGGAGGAGGGAGAGAAGGAAGAGCAGGAGGGGGAGGACGAGTGGGGAGAAGCCGAGGAGGGGGAGGGGGAGGTGGGGAGAGGGTTCGGGTGTGGGATGTAGGGTCAGGGGAATGTACCCTCGAATACTCAGGCCATACCGAGGTTCCCCTAGCAGTGTGTGCGTTACAAGGCACCTCGTTAGTAGCAACATGCGACGAAGTTATCCACATGTGGGACTCCTCCTCAGGCGAGCTCTTATCACTCTTTGAAGAGCCACCCTCCTCTCTGGCTGCACACCTCCAGCAGCAGCAGCAGCAGCAGCAGCAGCAGCTCTACTCCCTCCACTCCTCCTCCACCCCCACCCTTTCCGCCGCTGCTGCCGCCGCTGCTGCCGCAGCAGGCGCGGCCGGGAATCCCCTCGCGTATTTCTCCTCTTCGCCTCGCCTCGCCATGCCTATCGGCCAACTTCCGGACCAGACCTCCTCTCTCGATCCCGCTGCTACATCCTCGATTTTCTCCTCTTTCGCCGCCGCTACAGCCGGAGTGGGAAGCGGAATCCCCGCCTCCCCTCGCATGTCCTCCTCTCTTTTCTCCTACCATCCCTTCTCCTCCCTCTCCTCCCTCTCTACAACTCCCAGATCCCACCCCTCCCCACACTCCCTCTCCGCATCCGCCCTCCCGGACCTCGCCGGGCCAGGCTCGGGAGACGGCTCAGCGGGAGGTTCGGGAACGGCTGGGACGCCGAGGCATGGAAGGGGGCGTAGCTTTAACAGTCCCGTGAGCGCGTGTCGATACACCTCTCTGCTGTTCCTGGGGCCAGCGGGGGGGAACAGACTCGTGGCCGGCACGTCTACAGGTTGCATCCGGTGGGTTACTCGTGTTCCTTGTGTTCTGTGCTGTGTTTGGAGTACCTTGCTCGCTGCTCTTCCTGGGGCCAGCAGGGGGGAACAGGCTCGTGGCAGGCACGTCTACAGGCTGCATCCGGTGGGTTCTTCGTGTGTCTTGTGATTCTCGTGTCTTGTGTGCACCATCTGTCAAATCTAGCTTTAACAGTCCCATGACTGTGTGTCGATACACCTCGATGCTGTTCTTGGGGCCAGCAGGGGGGAACAGGCTAGTGGCCGGCACATCTACAGGCTGCATCCGGTGGGTTTTCTCAGCTCTATGCTGCAGTCTATCTGGTGTTTATCTGGAATCAGCATGTGTATATCTGTCCCTCCGTCCCCTCCCAGTCTCGTGGACATGTGTGCGGGTCGACTGCTCTCCCTCTGGCAGTGCGGCCTATCCAAGCCCTTCTGCTCCTCCCTGTTGCCAACAGCCCTTCACAACACCCTCTAAGCCTGCCTTCTCTCCTATTCCTTCTTCCGATTCCAGCCTTGTGGACATGTGTGTGGTTCGCGTGCTTTCCCTCTGGCAGTGCGGTCTATCAGAGCCCTTTTGCTCCTCCCTGTCTCCCCTGTCTCATCTCCCTCTCCCCATCCCCCACCTCTCAGTCTCGTGGACATGTGTGCGGGTCGCCTGCTCTCCCTCTGGCAGTGCGGGCTATCAGAGCCCTTCTGCTCGCCAGTCACTGCCCTCGCCTCTGCTGCCACCACCACCTCCTCCTCCCGCCGCTCCTCCTCCTCCTCCTCCCCCTCCTCCTCTTCCTCCTCCGCCCACACTCGCTCCCCTGTTTCCACCAAGTGTGTTTCTGTGGGGTTCCACTCAGGACACCTGGCATTCCTTGATTGGACGACAGGGATGGTTGTGGCACGGGTCAAGGCACACTCGGGGAGGGTTACAGGGGTGAGTGCTACAGCCTTAGGTGCAATCTCTTGGCTTCTAGAACTTGTGGTGTGGCTGTTGGTTTGGGTGGTCAGAAACCTCTGGAACTTTCCAGTGATGGCACGGGTCAAGGCACACTCAGGAAGGGTTACAGGGGTGAGTGTTACTGGTTCGAATCTGACCTTTTAGGCGCATAGGAAAGCCTAGAAAACACGCTGCTTTAGTGTGGCTGGTAAGTTTGGGTGGTCTGGAATGTCTGGAATTTGCCAGTGACAATCAGGGAATTTTCAGGAGTAAATTCTGCGTTTCTTGTGCTTGTTGCTCTCTTAGACTTGTTCCATTTCATACTCAGTAGAGTCATCCTTTTCTCCTCACGCATTCTGCCTCTGCTTCTTGCTTTTCTGTCGCTTGGCTTTGTTCCTTCCCTCACTCACTTCTCAACCAACCAGCTCGTGCCATGTGGCGAGTATCAGCTTCTGTCCTCATCCACAGACTCGACCATTGCCCTGTGGGATATCAGAAGGTATGTTCCCATTGCTCATACTCTTTATAAGCCACCTCAGCAGTCGTAGTAGTTAGCTGCTGTCCTCGTCCACAGACTCAACCATTGCCCTGTGGGATATCAGAAGGTATGCACTCATTCCCAAGGCATCCATGTACCCATCTTTAGCTTCCTCAACAACCATTCTGATAAGCTGCTGTCCTCATCCTCAGACCCGACATAGTCACTGTGGGATTTACAAGGTAATCACTCACCTTATAATCTAATCAGCTCCCATCCCACACTTGTCCTAACTCAACCATGACCCTATCGAGTACTTCATATACACTCACCCACAGTGCAATCATATACCCTATGTAAGCCTTTCTTGTCCGCCCAACCCTCTTCCCCTTCCCCGACCCTTCCCTTCCTTACCCCTCTCGGCCAATCCAGAGCTGCTGACGTGGCAGCAGTGGAGAGGGTGGTGGCTCACACGCAAGGCATCACAGCAATGGTTGCTCTCACGCCCACCATGCTCACGCCCTCATCTGGGGGAGGTGCATCTGGAGCAGGTGGAAACCTGGGCGGCGTTGGTTCGGATCTAATGCCGCCCAGCATGACGCTGGGTCGGGTTGTGATGACGGCAGCTGGGAGTCATATTGGCGTGACGAATGTCTCGGGATTGTCGCAGGCTGCAAATGCTCGCACCAGGGTCAAGTTCTCAAGCCATGAGCTTGTTGTTCGCTGTCCGCCCCCCCTTCCCGTAAGCTTTGATGCCCACTTCCCATTGTGTTTTCATTGTTGTCCGTGATTTCCTGCTGGCGAAGATTCCTGTGTTCGTTTTTCTTTCCCCCTCCCCCCTTTACCAGTGAGCTGTTTCAGTATGCATGCTCTTTCTCGCTTTAGATGGTAATTTAACCCAATTTTCCTTGACATTTATCCTGCCTTTCCTCTTTGTGGGATCAGGATTTCAATCTACCATTCCATGCACAACAAGTGATTGACAACATTCAATGCTCCAGGTCAACCCCCATATTTTCGTTGGACGTGCTTCCTTACTCCCGCCTCTTCCTTGCTGGAGGAGAGGATGGCATTGTCCGTGTTTGCAATTAGCGGAATTCAACAATGTTGGCAATGGAAGCAAGAAGTAGTTGGTGAATGTGTTAAGTATAGAATAATTACATTGAGCCAACAGGTATTCGCTTGATGTGCAACATTAGTCTAGAACTGTTGGGTTGTGGTGTGGGTGCTTCTAAAGGACACATTCTAGTTAGATTTACAACACTTTAGCTGCGCAAAGTATAAATTTGTTAGTGTACACTGCCTAGATATTCGCGTCGCGCCCCGTCTGGGAGGCACCAATCTCGAGGCCGCGAACTGACAAGCTCGCGCGGAGCGGGCCTTTTGCCTACAAAGTGAGCGGGAACAGCTTCGGGAATGGCATCTCCTCTCTGTTCAGTTTGCTTCTTTTTGAAGCCAGTTCAGCCGAACACAAGCATTTGCTGCTGCTTCCGTTTCGAATCCAGTTTTGCTAAGACAACTACGACGATGAGGGAAATTCTTCACGTTCAGGCAGGCCAGTGCGGGAATCAGATCGGTGCTAAGTTTTGGGAAGTCATTTGTGAAGAACATGGAATCAATCCTGTCGGGGATTATCGTGGGAATTCCGCCCTTCATCTTGATCGGATTAACGTTTACTTCAATGAAGCGTCCGAAGGCCGCTATGTTCCTCGGTCTGTCCTTATGGACCTCGAGCCGGGAGTTTTGGATAGCGTTCGCGCTGGTCCTTATGGAAAGATCTTCAGGCCGGACAATTTTGTCTTTGGTCAGAGTGGTGCAGGAAACAATTGGGCTAAAGGCCACTACACGGAAGGTGCTGAGCTTATCGACTCCGTTCTTGATGTTGTTCGAAAGGAGGCTGAGAACTGTGACTGCCTTCAAGGTATAACTGATTCAAGCACGCTGCATGTTTTTTTCCCTCTGGGATCGATGCTGATTCAGTCTTGTGTCATCATGATGGCTACAGGTTTCCAAGTATGTCACTCTCTAGGCGGCGGAACTGGTTCAGGAATGGGAACTCTACTAATTTCCAAGATGCGTGAAGAGTTTCCTGACAGGATGATGATGACCTTCTCGGTGTTCCCGTCGCCGAAGGTTTCTGATACCGTCGTAGAGCCATACAACGCGACGCTTTCTGTCCATCAACTGGTCGAGAATGCGGATGAGTGCATGGTTCTTGACAACGAGGCGCTTTATGACATCTGCTTCCGAACTCTGAAGCTGGCTAATCCGAGCTGTAAGTCAGCGTTAAAGCGTTTCCTTTCTTCTAGTTAATGCTTGCGTGTTTATTTCTTCAAATTTACAATTTTCTTGTTTTTGCTGCAGTTGGAGATTTGAACCATCTGATATCTGCGACTATGAGTGGGGTCACGTGCTGTCTTCGCTTCCCTGGACAGCTTAACTCCGATCTCAGGAAGCTTGCCGTTAACTTGATTCCGTTCCCTCGTTTGCATTTCTTCATGGTTGGATTTGCTCCTTTGACTTCTCGGGGTTCGCAGCAGTACAGGTCATTGACCGTTCCGGAGCTAACTCAGCAGATGTGGGATGCGAAGAACATGATGTGCTACGCCGATCCACGCCATGGTCGCTATTTGACTGCTTCAGCAGTGTTCAGGGGAAAAGTCAGCACCAAGGAGGTTGACGAGCAGATGCTGAATATTCAGAACAAGACCTCCTCTTACTTTGTGGAGTGGATCCCCAACAACGTGAAGTCGAGTGTGTGCGACGTGGCTCCCACAGGACTTAAGATGTCATCCACTTTCATTGGGAACTCCACTTCGATTCAGGAAATGTTCAAGAGGGTTGGTGAGCAGTTCACAGCCATGTTCAGGAGGAAGGCCTTCTTGCATTGGTACACAGGCGAAGGCATGGATGAGATGGAGTTCACGGAAGCAGAGAGCAACATGAACGACCTGGTTTCCGAGTATCAGCAGTATCAGGAGGCGACGCTGGATGATACTCCTCTGGAAGAGCAAGAGCGCGAGTTGGATGATGCATGATAACTGCTTGCATAAAAGCTGCTGCATTGGGTCAGTTCAGTCACTTAGCTGGTGAATGGCAAGGTCTTACTATTGTACTAGGATTTAGTTTCCGTTCAGTTAGCTACAATGCTTAACTCTGTTGTACACTTGCTCAGTTACTACCTGTTATCGTTTCATCTCACTTTGGTTTGGACGCCAGTAGCTTTTTTGAATGTCAGGTAAAGAGATGGTGGCATTTCATAATAATGCTTTGGCAGTTTTCTGTGTGAAATCTGCATACACAAGTGGTTCTGATTGTATTGCGTAACTTCTTCAAAGATGAAATCACATTATAAAATGTGCAAAACACCCTCCACTGTCGTAATTTATATTGTATTGATTAATGTGACACGTTTTAAGTGAGGGAAATTCGTTCTGGATGACCTGTAAGAGAATCTCACAATCTTGCATAGCTGTAGTGTACAACCTCTTGTCGAACATTTGTTTCGGTCGTTTAGCGAGTTGACAGTTGAACACAGCACGATTATTGGTGGCCTGTCTACCTGCTCTCCACGTCGAAGATTCGGCGGGAGAAAAAAACGTACGGTGGGGATCTTTGTTCACCTCCGCCGTCAGCTTGCCCAACTGAAGTCCGTCTTCCACGGAAGCCCTTGGTGCAGGTCCCTTGCTTTTCCGTGTTTGTGGGTGGGGCGGGGAGATCTTGAAACACGAAGTCTAGGGTTTCAGATTGTTCTTTTCGGTTGACGCTGCTGCTGTAACTCCAGAGCGACATTCCCCTCACCTCTTCATTACTTCTAAGCTTTCGATCTGCTAGATCTAAGTCAGGTAGCTCGGGTTTGTCACTTGCGAGCAGCTTGGCGGCTCTCCTCCGCCATTCTAGCAGCAGCTCCAGCCGCATAATGCAAACATATCCAAACTGTGATAGCTGGCAATTTTCTAGGAAGCATATAGAAGATCAATCTTTAACCATCTAGAAAGGACGGGCTGTCGTTGAGACGTGAAAATTCGCATCGTCGCTTGGCTCTCGCCTTTACACAAGATGTTGGCTGTTTGCTTAAGATGTAAGGACCGGTATAGGTTACTCGCGAGCTTTCGTGTCTGCATCTTGTAAGGGACTTAAACGTACCTAACTTATCCTCATACGCAGGGACCAGTACACAATCGCTACAGCCTTCGTCTACTGGCAACGGTTTTTCATGATTCAATCCTTGTCCAAGAACGACCCATACGTATGTACCGGGTGCAGTTTGATTTGTTTCGTTGTCAGCGGATTGGTTGTTTGATTGTCAGCGAGGCTTATTATTATTATTATTATTATTATTATTATTATTATTATTATTATTATTATTATTATTATTATTATTATTATTATTATTATTATTATTATTATTATTATTATTATTATTATTATTATTATTATTATTATTATTATTATTATTATTATTATTATTATTTTCACAAATCGTTTCATGTCCCTATCCAGCTTATCGCATCCGCATGCCTGCTTCTCGCTGGGAAAGTCGAAGAGAACTTCAAAAGTTTGCAGAAGATTACCGAGATGTCATTCTATGTCCGCAACAAGAAGGATCCGAAGGCCTTGGAGTCTATTAAAAGCACACCCGTGAGTTGGATAGGAACGATATTTTTTGTTATTTGTTTGTGGTTTCCGAGGCGGTGTTGCATGATGTGTTTACTTGTGTGTATCTGTGTGTGTTTCAGAAGCTCTTATTGGCGGAGATGGACAGGGTAGTCAAGGCAGAAGAAGCCCTTCTTGTTACCATGAATTTTGATTTTTTCGTCAGTCATCCGTACAAGCCGATCTGCTCTGTGGTGAAGGAGTTCGGTTTCACAAACCGCCAGTCTGAAAGGGACCGGACTTTCTTTCAGATCGCGTGGAACTTCGCCAATGACAGGTCTGCTCCTTGTCCTTTGGGGGTGGATTCTCTAGGGTCCTTGTGCGTGCTCAGTGTAATTTCGACCTGAGTAGCACAAGACCAATCCGTATCTGTACCTCCCTCGTGGTTCGTTTTCCACGTCCCACGCTGTCTGATGGCATTCAGTTTGCGGACCACGCTCTGCCTTCAGCCGTTTCGGCCGATGGACATTGCGGCAGCTTGCGTCAATCTTTCAGCGACTGCTTTGAGTGTCCAGCTTCCGAAAGCTGCTGAAGGAGGTCCATGGTGGACTAAGTACGGCGTTTCTCCAGAGACGCTTCAAGGTTAGTAGCTCATCCAAGCCATCTGATCATCGCGGCTTTCTGCCAGTCGCCCATTGTGCTGACGTATGATTGCGCAGATGTCGAGCTGCAGATCATGTCCTTGTACAAGAGGAAGGAGGGCGATAGCCAAACACCAACATCTTGCCTTTCTCTTCCAGCCACTCCATCGATCAACGCCCCTCCGGCAAAGAAGCAAAGGACTGATACCCCGAGTCCCACAAGTGCTGTTGTGTCGTCACACCAGTGCCAGTCTGATGCGAAGGTTAATCAACCGGGCGAGCCAAATCAGCATGACTCTAGACAGCTTGAGGTAAAATCGAGTCACCAGGTCGACGGAGAGCGTGAGGTAAAGCCTCAGTCTCTTGGCACTGAGTTTGTGGGGAAAGCTGGCGGACAAGAGAAGCAGGATGCAGTACTCAGCAGCAAGCCGGCTGTGCTGGTTTCGTGTGGATCTGCCGCAGCTACAAAAGCGTCTCAGCACACCTCCCCAGGGAAGGTTGACTCAGGGGGCTCTGTGATGGAGCTGTCAGAGGAGTTAATATGCAGACTGGAGGATGTAGAAGTGCACAGGCCAAAGCGTACAGCAGCAAACGCTTTTGTTGCTTAGATTGGTTGATTTGTTGGGGATTTCCAGATATTGTTCCCTCCCTGTTTTTGGTGATTATAATTCATCAAGGATGTCTTTTGCAAAGCATTGGAGCCCTCCTTTGCTGTGTGTTATAAATCATCACTACAGACTGCTCTCTTGCATTGTTGCTGTGTGAGTTAAAATGAATATCACACTCAAACCTCTGGGCTATGAATCCGTGGATGATTGATTGTACAATGATTCATAACACCCTAGGTACTGGTGACTGGCCCATAAGAGGAGTTATATTCGAAATGGAGTTGAGACCCTAGACCATGGGACCTAAAGGTAATTGTATTCCTTTGGCTCCAAATCTATGCATCAAGTTCTTCTGTCGATACCTCCATTAGCAATTTTGTAGAATATGGGTGTTTGATTGAACCGGTGCGATAGACCGATAAGTGGTATACCAGTATTCTTCACTGCACATAAAAATGTAGTGAACCTCAATGTATTGTATCACCTAAACCTTGTACGCTGACCTCGGAGTTTCTGTGCATTTTTAGGGGTAGGGCTCCGCAGTTGCACCCCCGTTCGAAGTTAATTCGGTGGGTGGGGGGGGGCTGGTGGCAATTCAGCATTGCTGACGCAGCGATCACAGCGTGTCTCTCCATTGCTGTGCCACGCAGGCGTTTGGGCCAGCCCCAATCGATCACAATGCCCACTGACGTCAACCACCGTGGCCCTCGAATAAAATGAGGATTTTGCACGTGGACGGACGTGGCTGATCACTCACAAGCCTCAAAATTCTAATAAGCCGCATCGCAATAGGAGGTAGTCATGTGCCGTATGTTCTTTCAGAAAAAGACAAGGCATTGGATGGAATGGGCCCGTGCAACTGTAGCAGACAACCAACCGTTTGCTTCCATTCCTCTCGCTCCCACCTCAAACCACATCCACATCGCTCAATCCTTGGGAAACCCTATTCTTTCAGCCAGCAAATAAATCTTCCAGCTTCAAGGCTTGCCACAGGTATGTGTTCCCCATTGGGTCAGTGCCACGTCTGAATCACGTCATTTTCCTGGGAATACGCGTGTGTATGCCCGCCGTCCCAGGAAAAGTGGTGTCGCTGAGCCACCTGGTGGGTGTGTAACGGAGGAGATAAGGCTATGAGCTGGCATGACGCGGAAAACACTTCGAGAAATGGGAGGTTCATGCCAAACAGTCAATTGGATGGTTATGGACAATGCTGCACGCAAGCGGATTGATACTGATGATGGAAGGATGAATTGTTTAGCGGCCTGGTTTTCCCTGCTGGTGGCACTTACGATTTTTTTATAGCACCATCGATAACTGTTCCGAATTGCATTTTGCCTCCACCACTAATTGGCATGGTTCTCGAAGGCAGCCCCGTTGCACTTCTCTGGCTCTCGATTTCTGTGTGGGGCAGCGGTGACTTCTTTCCACGTCATTGGTCCCAGGTCTGCCATTCGAGCAAACATTTTTCTGCTGGATTATCCATCAACGTTCACGAATGGTACTGTGCTATCATCAAGAGTGATTACTGTTGTCGCTGGGATGACATGGAACACGTGTTGCATGACTGCTCCCCCAAAACCATGCAAGGCGGAGTTTGTCGGGAGTTTAGGCGCGCGGTTCTGCAACGGAGCCTGGACTTCGGATGGAGGGCATGGTGTGGATAACGCGCCTGGCAAGGCAACCTGACTCCCTCTAATCGTTCCACACCTGGAGGCTCGGCAACCACATCCGTGCTTTGGTGGCTGTGAACCCACTTGCGACGAGACCGATTAGGTTCGGCTGGGGAGGCGTCAGGCCCGACAGGGTAACACACACGGCTTGGATATGAGCCATTGTGGCTTGGCTGGCGCAGGCCCACCTAGGTTTTCAAACCCTGCATCTTCTCTCCTTCAGGGTTCCATTCTCTGCTCTCAGCAGCACAGCAGCAGCAGTCACCCCCTCCCCTGCCCAGCCCAGATCTATGGCTTCCCTTACATTCCTTCCCTCCCAGACTGTTCTAGTAATTAGGTTCTGACGTCTTATTCTTACTGGTCGCTAAGAAGGTAGTTCGGGAATGGCTTTAGGCGTCTCCCACATCCCTAGGAACCTAGGCAGTGCATGTACAGCTAAGCTTTCCTCAACGGCGCCGTCACTTAGGAGCAAAACGAAATGTCGCACAGGGAAGTTCCGACCAAAGAAGCAGCAGGCGCAGCGGCTACCAGAACCTTGCGAGAGGCTTCAAACCACAGTTCAAGCATCCTTAGCGAGCGAGCGACTAAGTAGCGCTTTTCCATACGCTTCTGCTGATGAGTTAACAAGGAGGAGCACTCCAGTCGCTCAACAACGGTGGGGTGGTAACATTCTTCAGAACGATGAGTCATGGATTCTTTTTACGAGTGACGACCTTCAAGAGGACAAAAGCTCGACGGAGAGATTAGAAAGACTAGGATCTAGCGCGCAACTGGATACCGCCTCGTGGACGGAGCACAGCGTTCCTAGTTCGCGGGACAGCGGAGGAAGGAGTGCGGGAGTTCCTGTCTTCATCATGCTTCCGTTGGACTCTATAACCATGAGCAACACGATAAGTCGACCAAGAGCGTTTAGAGCTAGCTTGACAGCTTTGAAAAGCGCCGGCGTGGAAGGGGTCATGATGGACGTTTGGTGGGGAATAGTAGAAAGAGAAGGACCCGGGAGATACGACTGGTCGGCATACAAAGAGCTAGTTTCGCTCGTCAAAGAAGCTGGGCTCAAGGTCCAGGCGGTGATGTCTTTTCACCAGTGTGGAGGCAACGTGGGAGACCATTGCATGTAAGGCCTAGAAATATTGGCAAGTTTCACTTCCATACTATTAGGCATCAATACCAAATGACTTGCGACTGCCATTTTCCGGATTGCATAGCCACTAAGCGTGCTGGTCTTTCTGCTCTCGCTGAACGGCCGGCGCTTTTGTCGCAGGATACCGCTACCTCCATGGATCCACGAGGCGATAGACAAGAACAATGATATTGTCTACACGGACCGGGCCGGACGGAGAAACAGAGAGTACCTTTCGCTGGGTTGCGACGACCTTCCGGTTCTTCAGGGTCGGACGCCCATTCAAGCATACAGCGACTTCATGAGGAGCTTCAGGGACGCGTTCTCGGAAGACCTCGGTTCTGTTATTACAGTGAGTCTACGATCGTTATTGCTCATTCTTACCAAAGACTGAATGAAAGTCGCACTTAGCCATTTTTTTTGTACGAATTTTCTGACTTATTATTTTTTCTCCTTCGCAGGAGATACAAGTTGGCATGGGTCCTGCTGGCGAGCTTCGGTACCCCTCGTATCCAGAGGGTAACGGAATGTGGCAATTTCCGGGAATTGGCGAGTTTCAGTGCTACGACAAGGTATGCTGGCTTCCGGCGACTGCGTCATTGCATCATTAAACGGTTTTGAAGCTGATGCATCAAACAGTTTCTAAGTTTCACTATTTCTTCTCCGATTCTTGCTTGTTAACAATGCTTCTGCTGCCGTCCTGTTTTTGCAGTACATGCTTTCGAGTTTGAGAGCAGCGGCCGAAGCCAACGGCAAGCCTAATTGGGGACTCGGAGGTCCGCACGACTCTGGCTACTACAAGCAATGGCCTCAAGAAACAGGCTTTTTTCACGAGTTCGGCAATTGGAACTCACAATACGGACACTTCTTTTTGCAGGTTAGTAGTAGGGACCCCTTACTGTGCACATCTCTACCATCGTCACTAGGCGTTTTCTTTTTCTTCACATTCGCGTCATTAGTTTTCTTTATTGCTTGCTGTGATGCTTCCGAAGTCTTGTTGCAAGGACGCGAAGCGGACTATTCAGTTTCCCCTCTGACGTTTTCTTGTTTTTTTTTTTTTTTTTTTTTCCGTCTGACATTTTATCGTTTCCCGCATCCAGTGGTACTCTGAGATGCTGATTCAGCATGGCGACCGAGTGCTTTCCTCAGCTTCATCAATTTTCCGTGGAACCAACACGTCCATCTCGGGCAAGGTGGCAGGTATCCACTGGCACTACGGCACCAAGTCGCATCCACCAGAGCTGACAGCGGGCTACTACAACACCATTTTCCGTGACGGCTACATTCCGCTGGCACGGATGTTCGCCAGACATGGAGCTGTGCTCAATTTCACTTGCATTGAGATGAAGGACGCGGAGCAGCCATGGTATGCCCTGTGCAGTCCGGAGGGGCTACTCCGGCAAGTGGCACATGCAGCACATGTGGCGGGCACAAGGGTCTCAGGAGAGAATGCTCTGCCTCGGTTCGACGAGGGAGCCTTCAATCAGGTAATTTACGATAATTGATGCTCGTTTTTCTAGTCTAAATTTGTGTGTGTTCCATTCACCTTTTGAACCCTAGTTTTAATGTTATTCCGTGTTTGTTCTGCTGTTTTAACAGATTGTGTGGAAATCGAGGTTGCAGTTCGATGGCTTCTCCCATGAGGCCCCAATGTCGTCGTTCACATTCCTGCGCATGAATGAGTGCTTGTTTCGGCCGGACAACTGGCGCAACTTCGTGATGTTTGTTCGGCACATGCGGGAAGGTCGGACATTTGCTCCTTGGGACGAGCGCCACCGACACTCCCATGCACAACTGCACGCCACAGGATCTCTCACACAAGCAGCAGCCGCTCTGATGCTACAATAGGTGTAGTTGAAATATGGTGTTCGAAGATGGCCAGCCAGCAGTGTTCAACGCTAGGGCATTTTGGACATCGGCACATGGGTTAGCTTCCATCAGCGTTTCTGCCTTCCCATCCCCACAAGACATTTCATTCCACTAACCGTTTCCGGGACTTGCCTCCACCAATACGTCCACAGTGCCCAGTGTCATAAATTCTACAGCATTTGCCAGCAGTCTTCCTCCCATTCCCCTGCAGCCGGCCTGACCTGCGTGTCAACAGATGTAGATGGGGTTTAACTGCCACCCTTTGGGATGCTCTTCCTTTTTGAGGAAAGTACTCTAGGGCATTGGGTTAGGTTTCATGCTGTTCCAACGCTGAGTGTATAATTGTAGAGCAGAGTGGTACTTCGTTTGTGCCCCTGCCCAAGTATTAATGACCATCATGATGTCCATAGAAATAGACTAGCATCAAGTGCACCTCATTGGTTATAGATGATTACTTCATGAACTTCCTAATGTTACAATAACCTACATTTCATGACTTACCTGACGTCGCAGTATCGTGAACTGCGAACAGGAGGTGCGACGGATATCGGGGACCTTTCAAAAGTAGGGGCAACGGTTATTGATCCTCTGTTAGTGACCACCTCGATTGATGGTTTGCTCCCGTCATTCGGCCACTCACCCTTCATCATCTCTCGTGTCTGAAAAACAGATCGAAGTGTTCCGTCCGTCCCCCCAGAGAAATTGATCACGGCAACCGCCAAACTACCGAGCTGAATTGTTTCTGTCTGGAAGCTGAGGTTGATACCTCGGCTTCGTTGCTGTTCTCGCGGGTCGCCATAGCTGCCTAGGCTCAAGTGTATAACCATGGTTGGTGCGTGTAAGGAAATGGCGGTGTATTGTTTTGACAATTTACTGTCGCACTACAACGGTGACGATCCTCCTCCGCCCGCCTTCGAGGGTGGCCAATAGTAAGCAGCACGAAATTTGTGCTTGCCGCTAATTCCGCGACATCAGCGAAGGAGGACGTTCCATTCTAATCGGTTCTCTGGGCTGTGTGAGTTTGCAGCCCACTATTTGTTACCTGGAAAAAGGTTTCGGATTCTGGTGAGGCTCGGCTGCGAGGGTGCATTGGAACGCTCGAAGCTCGCTGTGTACTAACGGGGTTTAAAGACTACGCGCTCACAAGGTATGGTCTTGTGAAGCACTCACATGCTTCACGCCCTTCCACGTCTCATTCATTTTCCCTCCATGTCACATGGTCCAATTTTTCATGCTTTCGAAATTGTTTGATGCAGTGCGTTAAGGGACCGTCGATTTTCTCCCATTCAGCCTCGCGAGATTGCGAATCTCCAAGTGACTGTTTCAGTGCTGACCAACTATGAGGTTGCGGTTGATTACCTTGATTGGGATGTAAGCACTTCAGCTCTGGGGCTCGTTTTGCCATCGTCCTCTCCCTGTCTCCATAATACAACAGATTTACGCGCAAAATCACGCTTGTGGTGTTGCCTTAACTTGCAGGTTGGTACACACGGAATGATTCTTGAATTCTTTGATCATCAAAATACAAAAAGGAGTGCCACTTATTTGCCAGAAGTCGCACTTCATGAAGGTGAGTTCCCTTGCTGCTTTTCTCCTCCCCCCTCCCCCTCTGTTCCTCCTTCCTCTCTTCTTTGTCCCAAACTCTCCTCCCTTTTCTCTTTTTCCTTCTCTGGCCGTCCCTCTTTTCTCTCCTGTCTTCCTCCTCACGGTTCTTCTCAGTTAGTTGCTTCATATCTATGTCGGGTTTTCTACCGATTTCAACATGCTGAGCCCCAAATATTTGCAGGTTGGACTAAGATTGAGGCCGTGGATTCATTGATTAGAAAGGCTGGTTATAACGGGCCAATCACTGATACACTCAGAAGAAAACTCCGTGTGACTCGTTATCAGTCCTCCATCTTCACTCTTCATTACGAGGAGTACGTGGATTATGTCCAGAGGACAAGAGGCTACACCCCAAAAGTCTCACGGTGGTAACATTTTGGGCTTACCTTCGCAGCGCCCTTCTGTACATAATTTCTTCAGGCTGGCTGCAGAAACTGCATGCTGGCCATGCCTCATTGCTGTCTATTGTCTGGCCAGGTCATGTGGGGGTAGTGAAGGAGCTTTACAAACTCTTTGGAAGCTGCTTGGCTTCAATTCTTCGACATGATGAAGGGTGAAGGCTTTGGTTGGTAGAGGCTAGGATCTTTACCTTCAATGTACCCTTCTCTTGAGGTTCAAACTCCAATATTCATCCACTTTGCCCCTCAAGTGTAGAGAGATCTGGTCTGAGAGCGTTGTTACACAAATGGCGCAGCAGTTTCACTGCAGCCAGTACCCCATGCTAGACACAACCACGAGCATTTTCATGCAGCAAATTTTAGAAACACGTAGGCTCATTACACGGAACAGATTTTCATGTTTAAGTTGCCACTGTACGACCACGGCGAAGGAAGCTGAACCCGAAGAATCCTCGTTGTTGGAATGAGTCACGACGATCAGGCTGAACAACTCTTTCTTCACCACCCTCGGTGGCATTTCCCATGTTGTGCTCCTCCTCCTCCACATCACTTTCAGTGTCCAATTGTCCTTGGTCATCTTCAGCGATCTCTTGAGGTGCATCCAATTGTCTTGAGGTATGCAAGCCAGTTGTGTCAACCAGGCTGCTATCAGAAGCACCAGTCATCTGCCAGCAAGAGGAATGAAAAACAGCCCAGCAGCTCAGTGGGGTTGACTGGGGGTATTGGAGTTACAGCTAAGGGGATGAATTGCGAGTGAAATAACTCACCATCTGCTGCCACTGCTGCTGCTGCCTCGCCTGCTGCCGCTGCTGCTGAGCAGCAGCCACTGCTGCTGCTTGGGTGGAAACAGCAGTCAGGTAAGCGATGGTTTCATCCGCAAACGCTTGCATGTATGCTGATACAACAGTTTGCAGCTGGGTCACTACGTCATTCACACGCCCCTTGATTTCATCCATCTGTTTGTCAATGTCTTCCTCGTTCTCTAACAACACTGGCTGTAGCAGGTTGTTGTAAACGTGGTCTGTGCCTTTGTTGTCTGGGTACCAGAGGTAAATGACCAAAAGCAGCTTCATCTCCGGGTACATAGGCAACCTGTCCAGATTGAATCAGATTGGAAAGTGTTTAGTGGGGTAAAACGGGATGGATTAGATTGAAGCAATGCATCTTTGTTTAAATGGCAAAAATAATAAGCTTATTAGCTGACGTGTGCCTTCTGTATCTTGTCAGGTTGTGACCCCAAATGCCTGAGAATGGAAAGGTTCTCACACGATGTGAATGAGTAGGTTGAGGCAATCCGTCACTATCTGACCAAGATGGCTTTCCTGCACAAGTTCTTACCGTTCCAGTATGGGGTCAGCCAGGCGCTCTGTGACGGTAACGAGGGCAATGAGCACCCTGAAAAAAGTGGGGGGGAAGCAAACGCGGGAAAACAACGGCCGGAAAACAGATGTTGATTACAGAATGAGAGGTAGGACATGGGCACAGGTAACGATAACTATGAACATGGTTTCCTAATAATACACATGGAGCAGATGACAACCATGAACAGGGATGACAGAGACTCACACCAGAACTGACAGAATCATAGCAACTCCTTGTCGTCAAGCTGCCGCTTTCTGAAAGCTTTAAGGTGACTCTTGAGTCGACTCAAAAGTCACCTTAGGGGTAATGCAGGTGGGCAGATGACAAGCACCTACACGGAAGAAAGGGACTCGCACCAGAATTGACAGAACCATAGCAGCTCCTTGACGTCCGGCCGCCGCTTCCTAATGGCTTTAAAGCAGAGGTATGCTGGATACAGATAACCGAGGACCAGTCTGCTTGGAATCGCGTACGAGAGGAACCGGGAGACGACAGTGGGGAAACCGTATGGGAATCTTCAAAATCTGACCCCAAAAAGGGAGAGGTATGCTGGATAGGGATACCCTAATGCTAGTCAGTTTGGACGGAAAGAAGGACGACGCGAGGTGAGAGTCAAAAGTCACGGATGAGTCGGTGGTCGTGCGAAATGGTCCAGAACCACGCGACCACTGAAAAAAATCGAGTATTCTACAACATGAGACGAAATAAACGAGTTCCCAACGACACGATCAAGCACGTACGTCAAGAAGTGCAGCAAGGCCGGTGGAAGCATCTCGGTCGCTCAGCAACGATCAATGAAGGTTTCTGCTAGGAACGGTTTCGAAGCTCCAACGCCTTCGTGACGGCCCCTGCTAGCGCGAAAGTCTCTGTGACGGCCCGTGCTTGCGCGAAAGGCTCCTACGGCTCTGTGACGGCGTGTGCTAGCGCGCAAGGCTCCTACGGCTCTGTGACGGCGTGTGCTAGGGAGAACTTACAACAGCGCTACGATCTCTGAGTGTGGTGCTAGGGAGAACTATCGAGGCTGGCACACGGCACAGGAGCCACAGAAAGAAGACTCGGCGCCTGCAGCAAAAAACGTGGGGCGCTACGAAGAACAGAAAACGGACGATGGTTCTCAAGCTGGCAAATGAACGCAGCGGTAAGAAAAGCGCCGCCCGTGGGGCTCGAACCCACGACCACAAGGTTAAGAGCCTTGCGCTCTACCGACTGAGCTAGGGCGGCTCTTTTCGATTGAAATAGTAATATTTACATTAGATCAATACTTTCCTCCAGCCTTTCTCCCAAAAGTTGTCTGTCCCAAATGGCGTTACGTCCCACTTGGGTGTGGTCCCAGTGCAAATGGGTCCCTCATCTTGCTCCACCCGTTATAGTCACGGTGTTTCCCCGCAATGCCAGTGACAGACACCGCATCAGGGCGACTGCGAGCAGCAGTGGGAACAGCGGAGGGGGAAGGGTAGGGGGAGGCGGAGGCGGAAGTGGCGGAAGGGAGGGCGATGCGGAGTGGCTCACGGGGGGATCGTGGTTCGAATTTGACACCGATTCCCTGGCCGTGACGTCAGCTCCGCCCGACGATGACGTCAGCCTGACTGGCGATGCCCCGGACGCGTCTCGGCCGTCGGATCCTGAACTCAGCGCTGGTCCCTCCGAGCGGGAGGCGCGGGGCTCTGGGCGGCAAGATCCGTCGGATGCGGGCGCCTCCGCGTCAACGTCATCGGCTGGAGGGCGGCTGGGCGGCAGGCTGGGCGGACAGCGCGGCGGCAGAACCGGCGGGGACCGCGGCTCACGGGGCGGGGGAAGGGGCGGGGGAAGGAGCGGGGGAAGGAGCGGGGGATTGAAAGACGCGGAGCTGGCGGAAATAATGGCGACGGTCAGGCGGGCGGAGGCGGGAGGGGGAGAGGGTGAGCGGGGGGAAGAGTGGGGCGGAGAGTTGGGGGGGAATGGGGGCGGAGAGTTGGGGGGGAATGGGGGCGGAGATGGGGGGTTGGGGGACGTGGAGCGAGTGAGGGAGGTGCATTTCAGCGGATGCATTAATGAGTCGTACGCTATAAGCTACAGGCGGGGGGTAACGGCAGGGGGAGTGGGAGACCTGAGGACCGTCTTTGTGAAAGTGAACAGGTGAGAGGATGGGGAGAGGGGAGGGGGAGAGAGGATGGGGAGAGAGGAGGGGGAGAGAGGAGGGGAGAGAGGATGGGGCAGAGAGGATGGGAGAGAGAGGGAGGGGGAGAGAGGAGGGAGAGAGAGGATGGGGAGAGAGGAGGGGGAGAGAGGAGGGAGAGAGAGGATGGGGAGAGAGGAGGGGGAGAGAGGATGGGGAGAGAGGAGGGGGAGAGAGGAGGGGGAGAGAGGAGGGGGAGAGAGGAGGTTGAGAGAGGAGGTTGAGAGAGGAGGGGGAGAGAGGAGGGGGAGATAGGAGGGGGAGAGAGGAGGGGAAGAGAGGAGGGGGAGAGAGGAGGTTGAGAGAGGAGGTTGAGAGAGGAGGGGAGAGAGAGGAGGGGGAGAGAGGAGGGGGAGAGAGAGGAGGAGAGAGAGGAGGGGGAGAGAGGAGGGAGAGAGAGGGGGGAGAGGAGAGAGGAGGGGGAGAGAGGAGAGAGGCAGCGAAGGTGGAGCGAAGGAGAGCGGTGCATTTTAGCGGATGCATTAATGAGTCGTACGCTATAAGCTACAGGGGGGGTGGTTGGGGAGGGGAACGAGAGGGGAGAGGGGGGAAGGTGGAGAAAGGGGTGGGGAGGTGGGGGCCTGAGAACCGTCTGTCTCAAAGTGAACAGGTGAGAGAGGGAGGGGAGAAGGGGTTTTGGGGAGTGTGGGGAAGGGTGGTTGGGGAAAAGGGGGACGAGGAGCAGGGCATGAGGAAGGGGATCAAACAGAGGAGCCTGTGGAATAATATCACTAGAGGGACAGAGTTGGACAGAAGGGGAACCGTGGGGGGCTGAGAATGGAAGAAGAGAGAGGGGACGGTGCGGAGAGGGTGGAGGGAGGGGGAGATGGGGACCTGAGGACGGATTTTGTGAAAGTGAGCACGTGTGATGGGGGAGATGGTTTTTGTATAAAAATGAGCCTTGTCCCTTCATCTCTCCCCCCCCCCCCCCAATGCACCCGCCCTCCGTGTGTGCATTCACCCGTGCAGGAGCTTCAGAGCAAGCGAGATGTTTGAAGGGGAAGCGAAGATGTGAGTACCGTGCCCCTCACTAACCTCCCCCCATGCGTCTCCCCATCCCCATATGCTCCCGCCCATCCGCACATCCGCCCATGCATTCGCCCGCACAGGAGCTTCAGAGCGAGCGAGATGTTTGAGGGGGAAGCGCGCATGTGAGTGCCGTGCCCCTCCCCCTGCGCCTTGTCCCTCCATCTCCCCCACCCGCCATGCACCCGCCCCCTGTGCAAGCATTCGCCCACACAGGAGCTTCCGAGCGAGCGAGATGTTTGAGGGGGAAGCACAGATGTGAGTGCCATGCTGTGCCCCTCCCCCTCCGCCTTGTCCCTCCAACTCCCCCCCCCCCCCTCACGGCCCCCGTGCACCCGGCCCCCGTGCGTGCATTCACCCGTGCAGGAGCTTCAGAGCGTGCGAGATGTTTGAAGGGGAAGCACACATGTGAGTGCCGTGCCTTTCTGAGACGCCTCAGAAATTGTACCTTGATCGCCCAATGCCCCTCCCCACGCCCCCCCCATGCCTCTCTCGTTTCCCCATCTCCAGCCCCCATCCTTCCAATCTATCACCTCTCACCACCATGCCATTTTCCCCTCTCTCTCCCCCTCTCATCGCCGTCCCCCATCCCTCTCCATCCCCCGTCCTTCCCCATTCCCTAACCCTGCCTCTACGCCGTCGTTCCTGCCAGCCTGTCAGCAATCACAGCAACGGAAACCGTGCGAGTGCCCCGGCCAATCACAACAGGGGACTTCAGAACCTCCTCCTCCTCCTCCTCCTCCTCCTCCTCCTCTTCCTCCTCCTCTGCTACCACTCCCAGCAACAACGAGTCCCATCGAGGGTCATTCATAATCATGGAGCATTTGCAGCTGCGGCCATTCGCCATGGTGCGACCTTAAACCCCATCATAGCGTGACTCAACTTTAGGCAATAGCTTCTGATAGACCCGGATGCTACCACGCTTCTACCACTCCCACCAACGAGTCGCTCGGAGGGCCTTTCATAACTCCGACCCCCATGGGTCTGCCAGGGATAAATCCCTGGATTAATGAATCATGTGACTTGCAGCTGCGCCCATTCGCCATGGTGCTACACCAAACTCCGAACCCCAGTATAGATTGACTCGATAGAAGGTTACAGAGTAACCTGTAGCAAAAGTAATTGCTTTGCTACCTCGTGTCGTCATAACATTCTCCTCCTCCCCCCGCTTCTTGTGTCATTTCAAATGGATCCAGCCAACCAGGAGCAGCTACTTCGTTTCCTCATTTCCTCGTTCCCTCGTCTTCCCCCTCCCCTCCCCCTCCCCCCCCCCCCCCCCCTCCCCTCTTTTGTCATTTCAGATGGATCCGGCCAATCAGGAGCAGCTAGGCCGGTCGCTAGCACAGCTGCACCTCGTGTCATCTGCCATGCCTGGGGTTCAGTTCGGTTTCAACTCGCCCACTCGGTACAGATACATGAAATTCAGCACCGTGTGTTTGAAACTTTATACTCATGCATCATGCATGCACCCCCCATGCACCCCCATACACCCCCCATGCACCCCCCATGCACCCCCATGTATGTACCCACCAGCACCCAGCACTATGCACTGCATAAAGCTTTCTAACCCCCATACTCTGCAACAATTCTACACCTTCACATATATAAGCCTTTCTCCTTCCCACTGTTCCCGTAAACCCCAAAAAATGCCCCTCTCACTCACGCGCAGCCTTGGCGTCATGCCTCTAGTCAATACGCCCCTCTCGTCCTCTTGGTCTCACTTCTTCCTCACCCATCGCCTGCAAGACCGCCTCGACGTACGTTTCCTTTTCATAACAACCCTGCTCGTTTCCTTTTCTTAACAATCCAATACAAGCCTGTATTGGATTGACTGCACGCGCCCCGTTGCCCGCTGGTTCCCTTTGTGCACACGTCAACAATTCACAACACCGTCCGTCCTCCTGGCCTCGCTACTTCATCGCTCTTACCATTGCATTGCATGTAATCCGCGTGTAGTGAGCAGTGTTTCGAGTCGACTCGAAACACGCTTCTTCCTCTCTCCTACCATGGCATGTACACCAATCAGTTGTTATACTGCCTATGCCCTTCCCCCACATTCATCTCATGATTTTTTCACCAGCGAGTTCTGGCTAGGTTTGGTGACGAGGCTCGGGAGCTTCGGGACATCGTGCCGAACCTGGTTGAGGCGGCTGAGTGGATCCTGACAACCGAAGCTATGGTGGAGGTTCGGCCGAGCCTGCTTCATGGAGACCTCTGGGTAAACCCCCCCAGTTATTCTGAATCTTTGCAAAAATGCCTATGCTTATCGACTTTGTGCTTCCTGTCCTCATTCATTATATAGTTTCAATAGTGTAACATACTGCGAGGTTCATCAAAACCACATGGCTTTTGGGGCATGTATTTTTGTTTTTCAACACATGTCAACGGTTAATCAATCCCACACCCACCTACCGGCCCGCCTCATCCCGCATTTGTGTTTCCTCTTCCCCACCTCCCCTTCCCTATCCGTCACTAGGTGGGCAATGCGGGTGTGCTTCGATCGGGCGAGGCTGTCATGTTTGACCCTGCTGGATTCTTTGGGCACTCTGAATTCGGTGCGTAATAATGTACTTTTGTTTTGTTTTGTTTTCTATTCCCCCCCCCTTGATTCTGAGGCATTGAATCCGGTCCTGTGATTTAATCCCACTTGCGATGTTCGTCTGGCACCATACTAAGGATTGGAAAAAAAAATAAAAAATATCCCACTGTGGAAAAATTGGATTGTGTGAGATATTTGATACGGTCAAGCGTGTTACCGTTTCTCTTCTTACCATCCCCAACACACCTCAGATCTCGCTTTTCAAGGCTGGAAACCTGCTCCTGGCTTCCCTGGCTTCAGTAAGTCCCTCTTTCCTGTTTCTTCCCCCCTCATCTTTCCCTCCTCGCGCTCCCTCCATTTTCTTGCCGTTGTATGCTCTCGTCTAGATCTGTCTTTCTCCTTCTCCTTCTTCCCTCCTCCTTGCCCGCATACGCTCTCGTCCTTCTCTTTCTCCACTGTTTTATCCCTTGCTCCTCTTAGGTGCATTCCCCGTTCCACCTATGCTCTGTTGCACAGAATTAATTTTCATCTTGCTCCTCTCCTTCTGCCCAACCCTGTCTCCCTGTTGTCACCTCTCCTTCCCCTCCCACATGCACCTGATGCTTTTTACACAGCGTATCATCAAGTAATTCCCAGGGCGGCGGGGTTTGAGGAGAGCCCGAGCGTTAATCAGCTGTTTCACCTTCTTAACCCCTTGCTTCTCTCCGTCTACCTTACCCTGTCGCCCTGTTGTCGCCTCCCTTCCCCTCCCACGTGCAGCTGATGCTTTCTACGACGCATATCACCAAGTAATTCCCAGGGCGGCGGGGTTTGAGGAGAGGCAGTGCGTGTATCAGCTGTTTCAACTTCTTAACCCCTTGCTTCTCTCCGTCTACCTTACCCTGTTGCCCTGCTGTCGCCTCTCCTTCCCCTCCCACATGCAGCTGATGCTTTCTACGATGCGTATCACCAAGTGATTCCCAGGGCGGCGGGGTTTGAGGGGAGGCAGTGCGTGTATCAGCTGTTTCACCTGCTCAATCACGTGCTCATATGTAAGATGCGTTCGTTCTTGACTGTGTGGATGCACTTTGCATATGCATGTGAAATTTCCTCAAGGCTCTTGAGTGTGTGAGGAAAGGACAGGCAGTGCGTGTATCACCTGTTTCACCTGCTCAATCACGTGCTCATATGTGAGTAGTGCTGTTTCTTGTTTTGCAAACATGCATCTAAGGTTGCAAACATGCATCTAAGGTTGCAAACATGCATCTAAGGTTGCACACATGTGATCAGCGTACATACATGGGCAATGCGAGATTGTTCCCAGAGCTGGGGGTTTGAGGAGCGGCAGAGTGTGTACCAGCTGTTTCACCTGCTAGACCACGTGCTCAGATGTAAGATGCGTTCTTTCCTGACTGTGTGGATGCGTTTCGAATATGCATCTGTCACTTACACTCGCCCAAGGCTCTTAAGGGTTTGAGGAGAGACAGAGTGTGCACCAGCTGTTTCACCTGCTCAATCACGTGCTCATATGTAAGACATGTGCTGCTGCTGCTATCCATTTATGCAAAGATGTGATTTGATACGAATATACATACATGATGCGATTTGATGCCCCATCCTGCAGGGTTCAACGAAGGACAAATCGCGTAAATACTATCTGCCATCTACCCATTGCTTCACTTACATATCGTGCATGGGTAGATGGTCGAGAGTATTTCCCTCAAGCCATGCAAATGGCAACTCGCGTTGTTGAGGGGAAATGCGTGTATTTCAAACACCACCTGTTCCTTCGTCCATTCTTCCCCTTTTCCCTCATTTTCCTGGGCAGATGGAAGGGAGTACTTCCCTCATGCCATGCAAATGGCAAGTCGTGTCATTCACCACTCACAACTACACTCTGCGTGATGCTATCATAACTTCACTTAAACTGTCATGTGTAGATGGTAAAGAATACTCCACTTACTGTATCTATTCAGCAGCTTTCTGTACCTCATGCAGCAGGTCTTATGCTCTGGAAAGGTATGGCACTATTGTATCTCATAATCTCACTTGTTTAACCACTTTAGTTGATGCATTTGAATAATAAACAGAGTGTGAACATTGAAATGTGGTACTGTACAACTAGCAAAACTAGGCACAGGATGATACAGTCACACGTGCTATAGTTCTAATATTGATGCCTTACCGAGAACACTGTAAGTTAGATCAAGTCAAGAGTACCCCTCCCCCTGGAAGTCAGTGTAAGTTGTCCTGTATATATGCAACCTGGAACCGCCTCCCCCTGGGTTCCCCAATCATAGGCCACAAAACGCAGCGAAGAGAAAGAAAAAAAGGTGAGAAAGAACTATCCCCGGTCCCTCTATTCAGCACGAGTGCCGTCACTAGCTGGTTTAAAGCTTCTTTGATGTATCCTGGAACCTGCCCCATCACCTGTGCCCTCCCTACCCTCTGCGCCATCCTCACCACCCCATGTTTCAATCATCTGTTCCATACTCCTGCGTCGACTCGATCCACCTCTGCAGGAGGGCCACTCTAATTGCCACATCAGCCGTTCCAGTCCCTCTATTCAGCACAAGGACAGTCACCAGCTGATCTAAAGCCTCGTTGATGCATGCTGGTGCGCTCCCCACCTCCTGTGCCCTCCGCACCGCTGCTAGAAACACCTCTAGGGTGTTCAGGCTCGGACGAGCAGGCCCGGGGCTTGGATTGGAAGGGCTGAGGTTCGGGTGAGGTAGGGTGAGGTTTGGGCGGGGTGAGCTGAGGTTTGGGTGAGTTGGAGTTACAGTGCTGTAATTGGGAGTGTGGTGGGTAGAGCTAATGGGAGTGTGGTGGGTAGAGCGAATGGGAGTGTGGTGGATAGAGTGAGAGGGAGTCTGGTCGACAGAGTGAGAGGGAGTATGGTGGGCAGAGTGAGTGGGAGTGTGGTGAGCAGAGTGAAAGGGAGTGTGGTAGGTAGACTGAGAGAGAGTGTGGTGAGCAGAGGGAGTAGGCGTGTGGTGGGCACACTGAGTGGGAGTGTGGTGGGTAGATGGAGTGTGGTGGGTAGATGGAGTGTGGTGGGTAGATGGAGTGTGGTGGGTAGATGGAGTGTGGTGGGTAGATGGAGTGTGGTGGGTAGATGGTGAGGAGGTGTGGTGGGCAGACAGGGAGGGAGTGTGGCGGGCAGACTGAGTGGGAGAGTGGTGGGCAGGGGGAGTGGGCGTGTGGTGAGCAATTTGAGCGGGAATGTGGCGAGTAGGCTGAGTGGGAGTGTGGTTGGTACACTGAGAGGGAGAGTGGTGAGTAGACTGAGAGGGGGAGTAGTGGGTAGACTGAGAGGGAGAGTAGTGGGTACACCGATTGGGAGTGTAATTTGAAGCCTGGACGGCACTAGGAGCGCCAGTTACTACGCGGTTGGTGCAGCTTGGAGCTCGGCTGATGGTGATGCTGGTTTTGCTGACATTGAGAGGAGTAGACTGAGCAGTTTGAATGAAAGGAGGAGACTGATTATTGTGGGTGGAAGGCTGAGTGGAATTCGGAAAGCCAGGGACGCGGATGGTAGTGTTTTGAGCTTGGTGAATGGTAGTGGGGTTTTGGGTCAAGGGGGTCTGGCTGAGAGTCTGTTGAGAGCGAACATAACACGGCTGTGTCGTCCCCAGATTGTGCTGTTGCTGCTGCTGCCCCACTGTCACACCCAATGCGCACTGCTGCTGCTGCTGCTGCTGCTGCTGCTGCTGCTGCTGCTGCTGCTGCTGCTGCTGCTGCTGCTGCTGCCGATTCACATACGGCCGGAACCCAGCCTGCTGCAGAGTGGGGCCTGCTGTGCTGATAGCAGCCTGTGTTACCACTGCTCCCTGCTCATACTGCTGTTGTTGTTGCTGCTGCTGCTGGTGACGATTCAAAGGCGGTTGGAACCCGGCTTGCTGCAGAGTGGGGCCTGCTGTGCTGATAGCGGCTTGTGTTACCACTGCTCCCTGCAGCAGCTGCTGCTGCCCCGGCTGTTGCGGCTGCTGCTGCTGCTGCTGCCCCTGCTGCTGCTGCTGCTGCTGCTGCTGCTGCCCCGGCTGTTGCGGCTGCTGCTGCTGCCAACACTGTTGCTGCTCCTCTTGCTGCTGTGACGGCTGCACTATCGACGTTTTCCTTGCTTTTCCCCTCACTGCTATGGGATTTGCCAAGGAGTGATCCCATGGGGCTTGCACGTGTGATACTGCTTCTCCCTGCTGCTCATGCTGCTGCTTCTGCTGGTGCTGCTGCAACAGCTGTTGCTGCTCCTCTTCCTCCTGCTGTGGTGGCTGCATTCCTGAACCTTTCCTTGGTTTTCCTCGCACCGCCTTGGGCTTTGCTTTCACTGCCTTGGGTTTTGCCAGTGAGCATTCCTGCTGGGCTTGCTCCTGTGTTTCTGGATGAATGTGCTGCTGCTGCTGCCCCTGCTGCCCCTGCTGCCCCTGCTGCTGCCCCAGATGCTGCTGCTGCTGCTGCTGCCAACACTGTTGCTGCTCCTCTTGCTTCTGCTGTGGTGGCTGCATTCTCGACGCTTTCCTTGCTTTTCCCCTCACTGCCTTTGGCTTTGCCAGTGAGCATTCCTGCTGGGCTTGCTCCTGTGTTTCTGAATGAATGCGCTGGTGCGCCGGCTGTGAAACATTCTGCTGCAGCTCACTATGCTGCTGCTGCTGCTGCTGCGGTTGATTTTGAATGGCTGCCTGCATTTTCTGATGAGTTTGCTGCTGCTGCTGTTGGTGCTGTTGCTGATGCTGCTGCTGCTGCTGCTGCTGCTGCTGCTGCTGCCGCTGCTGCTGCTGCTGCTGCCAGTGGTGCTGATGGTGCTGGTGCTGGTGCTGCTGAAGTTGCTGCTGCAAATGCTGCTGCTGTTGCTGCTGGTGCTGCTGCTGCAGCTGCCCCTGTGGTTGCTGCGTGGTGGAACCCCAAGCGCCAGCGAAACCAGAGAATGCAAAAGCAGCAGCTGTTGCGATTGGAGAGAGAGGAACTGGTGAGATGGGACTTGACATGATATGAGCAAATGTGTTAGTACCCCCAGTATTAGTAACAGGAGTGTTAGCACCTGATGTGATATTAATGGGAGTGTTAGCACCTGGTGTGATAGTAGCGGGAGTGTTAGCACCTGCTGTGACAGTAACGGGAGTGTTAGCACCTGATGTGATAGTAGCGGGAGTGTTAGCACCTGGTGTGATAGTAACGGGAGTGTTAGCACCTGATGTGATAGTAGCGGGAGTGATAGTACGTGGTGTGATGGTAACTGGAGTGTTAGCACCTGATGTGATAGTACCTGGTGTGCTAGCAGCTGGTGTGATAGCAGCAGGTGCAAACGCCTCACAGGTGACTTCTATGCCCTGTGATCCAACAACAGCACTCGCCTGAGTAAACAAACTGCGGGCACTTCTCATATCAGCAGCTCCTCCGCTCACTTCCCCTCCCCTCCCTCCTATTCCTCCCTCCCCATCCGCAACATATTCCCCTCCTGCCCCCTCACCCTCTTTCCCTCCCTTCGCTTCCACGCCCTCCCAGTACTTCCGCACCAGACTGTCTTGAGAGCAGATCGACATTTGAGGCGACTCAGAAACGATTCTTCGAACCGACTCTCCGATTCCTTTCTGAGGCGACTCGGAAACCGCACGGTCTGTCAGCGACATGGAAACGACTCTTCCTCCTGCCCCCTCCCAGAAGCTCCGCACGAGGCTGTCTTGCGAGCCGATCACAGGTTCCAAGGCATCGGGAAGAGCAGCGTCGGAGACAAAGGAGAGGGAGAGACGGGAACGCGAGGCGTTGGGGGAAGCGGCTGGGTTTTGGGGTGGCGTGGGTGCGAGGGACGGATGCGAGGAGGGTGCTGATGCAACTGCAGCAGCAGAAGATCCAAAAGGCCAGGCAGGCCCAGAGGCAGCAGGTGTGGTGGTGGTGATTGATGTTTGAGAGGACATCAAGTTGAACCCCATCAAGCGAACAGCTGCTCCTGACATCTCTCCCCTCCCTCCTTTCTCAATCCCCTCTTCTGGGACAGCGCCTGTATCTCCCTTCTGCACATCTTTGCTTACCCCCCGTTTCATCCCTCCGCCCATCCCTCCCCGCGTCTTCTCAGCTCCATCCATCCTTGAAGCATCACCACCCGTCTTCTCACGATCAGCAGCGGTCACTCGTTTCAGTCCCAGCGAGCCCATTTCCACCGCCACCCCCTCACCCACACCCCCACTCCCCTCGCTCCCTACCCCCACCACAGCTCCCCACACACCAGGTAAACCCGCACCAGTCACCACCTCCTTCGCCGCTCCACCTTTCTCCAACCCTCCCCCGAGCTTGTGGCCAGCGGCGCCAGGATCAGGCTCGGTAGCACCAGGTACGGCAGCTTGCTTGGTGATGGGCACAGTGACAGGCATGGTGGCAGGGTCGGTGAAAACGTGTAGGCTCGTGAGACCTTGCGGCACAAAACGTGGGTGAAAAGGAACGGAAGGGCAAGCGAGAGGAGGGGGCGGTACAGTGGCAGGTGGTGGTGGTGTGGTGGTTGGGTGAGTGCAAGGAACAGTGTTCATGTTTCGAGGTGGGGGTGGCGCAGTGGGAGTGGCAGTGGGAGGGGCAATGGGAGGGGCAGCGGGAGTGGAAGTGGGCGGGGCAGGCAGCACAGCTGCAGTAGCAGGAGCAAGCAGTGCGGCACGTGACTGTTGACGCCTGTGAAAGAGGGAAGCCAAAGGGCCGAGCTTGCTCCGAGAACCCTTCTCCTGTGATCCCTCAGCTGCACCCGCCTCACAGGGATTTAGAGGCGCTTCAAAAGCCTTCCCACGTGCAGAGGGAGGAGGGGGAGGAGAGGGAACAGGAGGAGCAGGGGAAGCAGGGGCAGCAGGGGGAACAGGAGGAGAGGGAGCAAGGGCAACAGGGGCAGCAGCGGGAGGAGAGGGAGCAGGGGGAGAAGTAGAAGCGGGAGAGGGAGGTAAACGGGAATGCACACCCGTAGCCTGTCGCTTTTGAGGGGTGCAGCAATCGGCGTCAGTAGGAGGAGGGGAGGAGCGATGGGAAGGTGAGGAGGGAGTGTGGGAGGAAGGAGTGTGGGAGGAAGGAGTGTGGGAGGAAGGAGAGGGGGCATGAAGAGGAGGCGAGCAGGAGTGTTCAGAGAAAGAGGGAGCTATGGCAGAGAGACAGTCAGCTTGCCGCTTCTGAGGAGTTAAGCCGTGGGAGGGGTTGGAGAGAGAAGGCTGAGTGGTACCAGCAGCACCAGCAACCACAGATTTGATTCTAGAGACTGTCTTTTTGGGCGCACGCTTGGTGATTCTGTTGGTGGTGGGAGTGCTATTGCTGATAGAGGCAGCAGCACCAGCGGCGCTGCTGTTGCTGTTGAGGGAAGATGATACGGCCTGAGGCTCCATGCGCCACTCCTCCTGTGCTTTGAGACGTCTCAAAGCAAGCCCCTTCCCGGTTTCTTCCTGCCCTCCCCTCTCCATTGCGTCCTGCTCCTCTCCCATCTTTGTCGTTTCCTTCCTTTTATGCCCTCCATCCCCTCCTTCCAGCCCTTCTCTCTCTTGATTCCCTTCTTCCAACCTCTTCCCGCCAACCCCCACCACTCCCAACCACTGTCGAATATCCTGCAACCGCCCCCTCGGCTTCCTCCCCCCACTCCTTGCACCCGTCCTTGCCCCAACACTTCCCTCTCCTGCCTTCGCATCTGCACTTACCCCACCTGCCTTCGCATCACCACTCCCCCCACCTACTTTCGACTGACTCACAGCCTTCCCCTCAGCTCTTCTCAGGAACAGCGCTGCTATGCTGCTCTGCACTGTCTTTTTTTTCGTCTGCTGAGACGATCCCTGAGGCGATCCCCCAGGCGACTCAACGAGTGCTGCTATACTGCTCTGCACTGTCTTCTTTTTCATGAGCTGAGACGATCCCTGAGGCGACTCAACGAGCGTTGCAAAACTACCCTCAGCTGCTCTCCTCTTCTGCTTCTTCTTCTTCCTCCTCCCTCCAGCCCCCTCGTCCTCCTCTCGCACTGGCGACCCTGCACTGTCATTCTCTGCTCCTGCTCCTCCTCCTACTACTCCTGCGCCTGTCTGCTCCTGCTCCTGCGCCCTCGTCCTCCTCGTCTTCTTCCTCCCTCCAGCCCCCTCGTCCTCCTCTCTCACTGGCGACCTGGCACTGTCACGCTCTGCTCCTGCTCCTCCTCCTTTCCCTTCCTCAACTCCGTCCTTAGGTAACCCTTCTGCCCCTGTATGCAGCTCTTCTCGTCCCTCTCTCATCTCTTGAGCACCCAAACAACCAAGCTGCCTCTCCTCTTCTATGCCCCTTCCCCTGCCCCCGTTGCCCTCTTCTCTTCTCCTCTTCCTGCGTCCCATCGTCCCTTTCACACCCTCCTTCGCCTCCCCACCCTCTCCCTCAGTCTCCTCCCCCGTCTCATTCTCCCTCCGCTTCCGCTGCTCTTCGTCCTCCTCCCTCTCATTCTTCCTCCCCGACTGCTCCTTGTCATCACCCTCCGTCTGGTTCTCCATCTCCTTCTGCTCCTCTCCAATCGCCGTTTGCATCACGCCCTCTCCCTCCATTCCTCCCTCTTTCTTGATCTCTCCTTCTTCCGCCCCCTCTTCCGCCCCCTCTTCTGCTTCCTCTTCCGCCCTCTCTTCTGCTTCCTCTTCCTCTCCCTCGTCCTCTCCCCAATTGTCCAACTCGTTCTCCTCTCCATGCTCCTCTTCCTCCTCACATTCCTCTTGCTCTTCTCCATCTCCCCGCTCTTCTCCCTCCTCTGTCCCTTGCCCCACCTCCTCCTCCCCAGGTCTCTCAACCGCACCAAAGTCTTGTTGCTCTTCTCCTTCCTCAGAGCTTGCTCCAGACTTCCCTTTCACCCCATTCTCCTCTATCTCGAGACCCTCTCCCTCTTTCCCTTCCTCTTCCTCCCCCACTGGCTCTTCCGCTTCCTCTTCTTTTCCCTCTCCCTCTTCCGCGTTCTCCTTCCCTTGCTCTATACTTTCCCCTGCTTTCAGTACCCCCTTCTTCCTCTCTTTCCCATCCTCCTCTCCCTCTTCCTTCTCCTCATTCTCCACCTCCTCTTCCCGTTCCCCTTCCTCCACCTCCTTCCCTTCCCTCTCTCCTTCTTCCCCTTCGTCACCTTCTACCTCCTCTTTCCTTTCCTCCACTTCCTCTCCCTCTTTCCCTTCCAGCACCTCCTCTACTTCTTGCTCCTCCCTTTTTTCCCTTTCATCACCCTCTCCCTCCTCTTTCCCTTCCCCCACTTCCTCTCCCACTTCCCCTTCCTCCACCTCCTCTTTCCCTTCGTCCTCCTCCTTTCCACTTTCATCTTCCTCCCCCTCCTCCTTCCCTTCCCCCCACTTCATCTACCTCTTCCCCTTCCGCCACCTCTTCTTTGCCTTCCTCCTCTCCCTTTACCCCTTCCTCACCCTCCCCCTCCTCTTTCCTCTCCTCGACCCTCCTCACCCTCTTCCCCTTCCTCCGCCTCCTCCTCCTTCCTCCTCTCCTCTCCCTTTTCCACTTCATCACCCTCCACCTCCTCTTTCCCTTCCTCCACTTCCTCTCCCTCTTCCTCTTCCTCCCGCTCTTCTTTCTGTACCTTTTTCCCTTCATCACCCTCCTCCTTCTCTTTCCCTTCCTCCACTTCCTCTCCTTCTTCCCCTTCCTCCACCTCCTCTTTCCCTTCCTCCTCTCCATCTTCCGTTTTTGCACTCTCCACCTCCCCTATATCTTCCTTCTCACACTCGTCCCCTTCCTCACCCTCCTCCTCTTCCCCCTTCTCTTCCTCCTCCTCCGCTTTCTCTTCCTCCACCTCCTCTTCATCGTCCTTATCTCCTTGCTCCTCATCCCCAGCTTCTCCCTCTCCTTGGTCCCTTTCCCCAACCTCCGACCCATCCCCACCCCCTTTCCCTTCCGCCTCCCCTTCCACTTCTCCCCTCCTCTTCCCCCTCCTCTTCCCCCTCCTCCTTCTCCTCTTTCTCCTCCTCCCCCTCTTTCTCCTCCTCTTTCTCCTCTATCTCTCCTTCGCCTCCCCATCAGTCTCCTCCTCCTCCCCCGCCACCTCCTCTCCCTCCTCCCTGACCCCATCCACAAGCTTCTTCTGTTCCTCCTTGCCTTTCTCTCCGCCTTCCATCCTTCCCTCCTCAATACTTGCCTCCCTTTCCTCCTCCCTTTCCTCAATCAGATTCTTCTCCCTTTTTTCCTCCCTTACCTCCTCCTTTTCCTCCTCCCCTTCCTCCTCCCTTTCCTCCTCCCCTTCGTCCTCCCTTTCCTCTTCCCTTTCATCCTCCCTCTCCTCCTCCCTTCTCCCCCCAGCCCCGTACTCATTATTCTCGCCTTCTTCTTCCTCCCCAGTTTTAACTTCCTGCTCTTCCTTCGTACCATCCTCTCCCTCATTCCCTCTGCATTCTTCTCCTCCCTTTTCCCTTTCCTCCCCTTCTTCCCATTTCCACCCCTTCCTCTCTTACCCCCTCTTCTTCCATTTCCTCCCCCCTCCCTCCTTTCCTCCCCGTCCCCTTCCCCTTCCCTCCCCCCTTCATCTTCCCCACCTTGCTCTTTCCGCTCCCTCCATCCCCGTCCCCCCATTTTCTCCCATATCCCCATCAGTCCCCCCTTCGTAACCCCCTTCGTTTTCCCCATCTTTCCCCTCATCCTCCTCCCCATCATCCCCTCTATCACCTCCCTTCAACCCCACTCCCTCCTCTCGTTCTTCCCCTTGGCCTTCCTCCTCTTTCTCTTCTTCCTCCACCTCTTCCTCCCCTATCTTCTCTTTCTCCTCTCTCTTCTCCTCCTCTCCGTTCCTTTCCTCTTCTTCCTCTCCCCTCTCTTCCTCCGCTCTCTTCTCCTCGCCCTTCCTTTCCTCTTCATCTCCAACCTCTTCCCCTTCTCCGTTTCCCCCCTCTCCCCCTTCTCCCTTTTCCTCCCCCTCACTCCCTCTCTTTCCTCTCTCCGTCCCCTTCCCTCCTCGTCCCACCCCTCGCCTCACCCCCTGGCCTGTCTTCTTCCCTCCAACCGCCACCCCTCGCTTTCCACCCACCACCGGTCTACTACCTCGTGTAACCATCCCTTCCTTCTTCCCCATAACACACTCTTTAGCACTCTCAAGGGCGATTTTCGCCTTCCCTTTGCTCTCTCCCTTAGCACACGTGCCAGAGTTTCTTCTGCAAGGCCCATCCACCTCCCTGGCTGATGATTCTGCTTCCTCTACCCCCCCTCGTGACCGCGTGTGGCGCAGGGGACCTCCGTTCCCAGCTTGTTCCTTCGCCTTCACGCCCAAGCCTGCTCCTCCCCTGCTGCCCCCATCCACCTCCCCGGGTGGTGATTCTTCCTCCTCCACTCCCCCCCGTGACCGCATGTGGTATGAAGAGCTAGCTCTAGCCACTTCAGCCTCAGTTGTCCCCGTAGCACTCACTTGAGCCCCAAGCTTTGCCTTTTGATCAGACGCTGCATTGGCAGGGCCCTTTTTCTGCGCTTTACTTGCCGCTTTCCCTCCCCGCTTCCCCTGCGCAGCCCCCTTTCCGTTCCCTCCATTCCTTCCACTCCCATGCTGTGATTTTCCCTTTCCTTTCCCCACTCCCTTAGCAAGCTCCAGCACAGGCTTACTCGGACTCGCAGGCTTGCATCCGCGCCTTTTGCTCATCTGTCCTCCCTCTGCTGCTGCTTCTTCCCCTGCTTGCTCCCCTTCTTGCGCCTCTCTCCCTTCAACCTCTCTCCCTTCCACCTCTCTCTCCTCCACCTCTCTCCCTTTAACCAACACAGCAGGCAGTTCCAGCACCACCTTATGAGGGTTCGCGGGCTTTCCCCAACAAGAAGTTGCTTGTTCTCCCCTGCACTTTATGCTCATCCCTGCTCCCTCTGCCGCCGCTTCCTCCTCGTGTCCGCGTTTGCGAGGGTTCATGGGCTTGCTTCCGCGTTTGCAAGGGGATGCTGGTTTGCCCTTGCACTCCAGACTCATCCCTGCTGCCTCTGCCGCCCGCTTCTTCCCGTGAATGCTCCTTCCCTTCAACCTCCTCCTCTTCCGCCCCCCTCCCTTTCCGCTCACCCGTTGCACACTCCATCTCCACCTCACGCGGACTAGCAGGTTTGCGTCTGCGTTTGTAAGGCGTGACTGGTTTGCCCCAGCTGTTAAGGCTCATCCCTGCTCCCTCTGCCGCTGCCTCTTCCCCTGAATGCCCCTTCCTTTCCTCCTCGTTCCCTTCCCCCTCCTTCCCTTCCTCCTTCTCTACCTCCTCTTCCACTTCTACCTTCCCTGTCCCCACCCCCTTGAGACGTCCCACCACCAGCTTCCGAGGGCGCGCGGACTTGCATCCGCGCCTGAGGCTCATTCCTGCTCCCTCTGTCACGGCCTCTTTCCCTGGTTGCTCCCCCTCTTCTGCAGTTTTCACTTGACCCTCCCCTTCCACTTCCCCCTTCC